CCGCCCACAAGGGGCAGGTTTGGGCAGAAACTTGTAACTCCTGTCCCCGTGGACCGAGAGCGTTCAAATTTGGCATGAGCACAGGCGGCAGGATGGGAACACTTATGGTGAGTGGCAGGACCGGACTCTGTCCACAACGGGTGGGGTTTGAGCGGAAAATCACAACTACTCCAGGGGGCGGGGCTTGCAGAGAAATGTCAAAATGGACCTAGGCCGACCAAACTAGGAATACAGAAGGCAGGATATGAACACTGATGATAGGTTGCAAGACTGAATTCCGCCCCAAAGGGCTGGGCGTGAATAAACACTGTTAGTTCGGACCCGGTCCGTCGAAACTTGGAGGCACAGGGAGTTGGCTGGGAACATTGATGGAAGCTAACATAGTAGACTCAGCCGCGATGAAGTCTCTGAATACTTTTCTTTCTTTGAATAAGCGCCTTTGTGATATTATGCGATGTTCTATTCGGACACAGCGAAGATGGCTTACAGAAAAAATCGCTCTTAATTCGGAGCTTATACTGAGGGTGTAGAGCATCCAAAGAAAAAAGAGAATCCGAAGCATTATATACGCATAGCAAATTTCTCACAGGAAGGAGGAGCGCCCGGCGTAGCCGGGCGATCCCGTAAGAAGAAGGGAAGCCCGGCGTTAGCCGGGCGGCCCGACTGGTAGGTGCTATAACGGGAATCATAGGAGTGCGACGGGAGTCCTGGAAAAAAAGTTTTTTACACTAGTTAGTTAATCAATCCTATTCTTAGGGTGTCCCGACGCTTTTCATCAGCCAACTGATATTTCGGCTGTTTCGCCTTCGTCACAGCCTGGAATGGATAGCTGGGTTGATTGGCAGGGCGAATATTCTGTCAGAATACGATGCATGGACCATGCGTGTACACTTGTTACAATGCTGGTCCTGTAAATCTTTTACTGGAATCTGTTGCATAATTTATTTTGAATTGATAATAAAATATATGAAGATCGAACCGCTCACTTGATTTTATACTGTGGTTCCTCGTTAGGTAGACCTCCCAAGACGTTCCACCTTATCTTTATAGTATCTGTATCGTCGTCTGATATTCCAAAATTCACTAACGTAATGTGTTCTATGTTTACTGGAAAGAGAAAGGAGTGGAAAAGTGAAGTAGTGTTTTAGAGACAGATATAAATGTCACACAAGCTCCTTACTCGTTTTTTCAACCGTCTGCAGGAAATTTTCTCCGTAGGAAGCATTTGCAAGTACAGTAATGCTAGCGATGTCAGCGGAAATATCAGTCGAAACTGTACCTTTCTGAAGTGAACCTTCTCAGGTCTCACATTGATTCGAGAATATTTTTATTTGTTGCTTGTCAATGGTGCAATACCATAAAACACTCCTTATACAAGCAAAGACAGTAGGACCCTTTTCCCAATTACCATTCTGTCGAAAGCACAGCTCCCCAAGGGATTGACTTTGCGAATTACCTATTGGAACGGCGCTCATGCTTTCAGGAATAGATGTGATATATAACTCATATGACATTGTTTGAGAAAAAAAAGTCGAACAAAAGCGCAAGGAGAGCCTATAGTCCAGGTAACCGAGGGGATGTGCCTAAGTCATCTACAATCGTATGTGAAGAACAACACTCTCGTACCGTAATTCGCTCTGACAATGCCACATAACATATTTAAGAGGGGAGATTTGATCTCAATTTATAATAAATTTCGATATTCAATCGTGAACAGCACTATCTTTAAGGATTGGAAAGGGAAACGGCTTATGAGCGAGGCAAAGTCTGTATTGTATACTTCCATACATAACCGTACAGAAATATACCCACTATACCAAGAAGTTCAATAGCATAATTATTTCGTGATAAGATCCTCATGCGAGATTTATGGGAACGCCAAGATGACCCGAATGAACTCATATTGATCAAAGGGCTCGAATTTCTTCACTACAAATGACTTACAGCTACTTTCCGTTTGAGATTTATGTGCTTTGAAAAACGCTACTTTGTGCTCCCTCCTTCCCTACGGAAATTGGCAAAGTCAGACACGCTAATTTCTAACATGCGATTCAGGCTCGATAGAAGCTCCTTTACGATTCTTCCTAATTTTTCACCAGGTTTTGAAACAGAACAAGGCCGAAATTATAGAAGATATGCTAGGTTTTTTGAGTGGGTGAAGTTAAAGGCACCGTTTACGATAAATTTAGGGTACCCTTTCTGACGGGAATTGATAGAACTACTCTAGAATAAAGCGATAGGAACGAAAAAAGCGCAAAAACGTTGAACAAAAAGAAATAGAAAGGGTCAAAAAAAGAGCTGGAAAGGGGGTTGGACGAGTTTCAAATTGGAAGAACGGCGGTCAAGGGAGTGTTCGGGCAAGTGCACGAAGGCGACGCAATGTCTGCAATAGCAGACAACACACCTAATTTGCCTGACAATCTGACTGGCAGACTCTGGCAATTTGCCAACCAGCTTATCGATTTTTCACCAACTTCGCTCCAAAGCGAAAGTGGTGAACGGCAATCAGATTTCGTAGTCAGCCTAGCGATGGGTGGAGGGCGAACGTGGCTCTCTCTCCGGCTCCTTATTGTGCCCTATCCAGACCGCTTTCCGACCTCATTCCTGCACAAAAGGTATCAGAGGGGGCGTCGAATTCAAACCATGTGCAAATCTCCGAAACCATTTTTTCGTGAACAGTGCCTTTGAGTAAGCAACCCAAGGCGATTCAACGGTGGTTCATTTTACCTCTTCCGGTTCTCTTTTGAGTTATGGACTCGGACCTGCAGCAATGTGGTATAACAACTGTGAGAAAAACTTTAATTTTCGCAGATGTTAAGGTAGGCTGACGCGTACGGAAGTCAGTGCATCTTCCAGCCGACTTACAGTGTCACATCTACGGATATGCAGCAGTAGATGCAGTTATGGAGATACTGTAAACTTTAGGTGGTGCTACAAATAGTGTACTTTGCGGGAAACATGGGTGACAGACTTCGCCCCGTTTCCTCACCGTCGCGTGCACTCGCGATTTCGCGGTAATTGTCCAGCGGCCGTTATCATTCACTGTGGAAATTTTGAACACGACAGCTGTTCCAATGCAGGATTCCACATTAAAACATTGGGAAATAGGAGCGTAGCTTCACATGATGTAGCTTAGTTCTCGATAAAACTTCTGATGTCTAATTGCAATATTGTCTAACTTTGTTCCGAGGAAAAGAGGTAGCTCGAACATTATCCATACCTTTTCCATAATTTCTTCTGCTTTAACCTTTGGGTCATCATCTTGCTTAACAGTCACGTTTAATCTGAAATGCTGCCAGTATTTATGCAAAAGTTCCAACATCAAGCTATAAATGATAGCGAGTTTTGAGCACTTCGTCATCCGTCTGAGAGATGATGATGACACTCCCACGAAACTGTAAGGTTTTTACATTGCGGCGAAACAATAGCAGTTAAAAAAATTCACAGCACAATTAAATATCACGCAATACCGCTTAAGGGCTCGAATGAGATCTTAGATTTCCAAATGAAAGCTAGCCTTGTTAATCGGGAATTCTCAAATTTTCACTCCGCTTGCTGAAAGGAAAACGTTAAACAGCAGTTCAGAGCTTCTATCTTAAGATGGAGAACGTCTTTTGGCTCCAACCAACCCTACAGCCATCTACCATTCGGAATTTGAATGCGTATGTGTATAATGAATGACGTGGCCAGCCAATGTCTGTGAGCGCTTTTATTTCTCCAGAGCAGTGTGCTCCCTTTTACCCGAAACCTTATACAAATTCCGGATGTAAATGGCACGTTCAATGGTTAACCTGAAGTGGTATCAAACTTTCACTCAGCCCTAGATCATCCCACCTCCCTTCCGCTTATCACATAGCATTACGTCATCTCCGATCTCCGTGTTCATATAAGAATTTTTTTTGGTTAGTCCGAGTTGAAGCTCTAACGGCAGTCAAAATTTTAGTTAATTGCACAGGTATGGGATAGTAGAATACAACTAATTAAGCCTGGTGAAGGTGACACACGGGGTTGCTGGATAGTATACAATGATGGCTCAAGATTTGTTCCGAATAACCACTACCGACAGCGTCTGCCAGCAAAGAGCCTGTGAAACGTTCTTCTGAAGACTATGCCGGGTGGCGTGTATTACAATGCAAAGTAGAGCATGCTCGTGATAAACGCACTCAGGTGATTGCCCCTGGACCAACCCGTCTCCTTGAAACTTCCGTCTCACCGTTGCTGTCTCGTACTGAGAATTAACTGTCTTTAGAAAGCGATATTAACGCCCATTTCTGAATGGGCAATCACAATGTTACTCCAATAACGGTACACGAAGGGCTTCGACACTGCAGGGTTCGGGGATCGAGTCTTGGAACTCCCCGAAGCCAACTAAACCTTTCATTTCTCCGGATTAACCAGTGCCAAACTCGTCTGGGACAAACAACACAATAAATTCTATTTTTGGCTACTACAAAACATTGCAGAAACCATAGACGCATTCAAGACACCACTTCGATTCTGAACAGAAATCAAATGCAGAAGGGCAATCCATATCGAAATTGATCACAGTAGAAAGACTTTACAGAATCCACACTCAGTGCCTGGGTAAAGGAAAATGTAATGGATCGTATTTCATTTTTAATAAAAACATTCGAGTCGAATCTCCACAAGAAAGCTTTTTGCATACTCTATATATTGAGCGCAGTCTGGAAAACTCAGCTACCTTCTCGTCGGAATGTCCTCGCGCCAATCCACCATCCAATCTACGTGAAGTTTATAGGGCTTGGATCTAACTAGTCGAAAGGTAAACTGCGGAGCAGGAGGAGGTCCTAAAATGGAGAAGTCTGGAGGCTGCTGTGCTCACTTCATCTAAAAACCGATGGACCTAACCTTCAACAGCGAAAATGTAAATAGATGTAGTTTGCTTGTAGTAATCCACGTCCTCTACGTAGCACGTATAGTACAGCTGACCATGTGATGCGGTAACGGTTAGACTCTCGGCATTTTGAGCAGCTAATTTCATTTCGTCTTTCCCATCTTCCTATAAAAAAACTTTTAACCCTAGAAGGAAAATAATTTTTATTCCAGTTTATGACTCATTATTATTGACTCTTAGCGATTCCAAGGCATAGCTCGCGATAATAATGGTTTTCTAAAATCTCCTCAGAATTACCCACTGGCCCTCAAGAGTAACATGAAGGACGCCGTGGGGCCCAAAAACTCAAGAGCTAGGGCACAATAAAAGTCCCATTATCGGATGCTACGCCCATCGACCAGTGATGTATCAGACGATGTCGAGGGCGATACAGATTGCAATATTTGCGCCAGGACCCATTCGTTCAGCATGAAATCAGCTGATCTTCGAGTGATGAGGTGATGTTTTCCCCCTATTCTATTATTGCGACTGTCCTGTATATAATTTGTATCTCAAGAGGATGAAGAAAGTGGGCTATTCTCGCTGTTGGTAGTGTTTTGTTAAACTACTCATGAGTCAATGAATTTCAAAAGACATTTTCACTCACTGTAGTCAGTTATTCGCATCAGGACCTACATGTACGCAATGACATAAATTGTATAGCTCGTCCAAACACCCCTTTAACTTCATTTTTCTTATCTAGTACCCATACAGTCCTTTTTTAAACGATTCTTTTGAAGCCTTTTATCGCTTTAAAAACACCGATTCGCGCACTTTCTTTGCTTCATACTACTTTCCACATTCTCTTTCATTTTTTGTCATAATCTGCACAATTAGTGATCTGTGCCTTTTACTAAGCAACTACCAGTCGAATCGCCCGGGCTTCCCGCCATATTACTACAGACTTGTGATAATCTGCTGATCGGCCACCCCTTCTTTTTAACAGACGACACTTCTAACAAACCTAAAAGGGCAGTTGGGTGGTATTCAGTATTTGCCAATGCTTAAGCCTGTGATTAGAAATCTCGACCTAGCGCTCTTCGTCCTAGAAATGATGTTTCTTGGAGATCTGACATATAGGCAACCAAATCTTGTCCACAAATTTTGTCAGTTGGTAATATCACCGTTATCAAATGTCGTCATCAATGAAGCTACCTTTTTTATGAATATATCATTAGTTAAGGATATCAGATTATTTTCGAAACAGAGAGGAATCGTATTCCTTCATCAAGCCGCAAACCTTGCTGGTTAGCTTTCGTAATCTAATAACAAGAGATGAACCAAAATTTTATTTCCTCATGATGTAATATATTTAATCGGTCCTTTTCACAGTACTCATTCGCCTTATTAGATGAAACACATCAAAGAATCAAAGCCGTTCGTTAATGCCAAAGAGTTGTTATTCAGCTGGTGAATAGGCTCATGCCTCTTAGACCCCTTATCAGTGGTTATTATTCAATTGGTAATCAGGCTCTTACCTCTTAGACCCCTTATCAGCTGTTAACAATTGTTATCAATTTCCATCACATACATACGTTCCCATCCCATCTCACATCACTCATTGAAAGCCAAGGTTCCACTATTAATCCGAAAGGTGTTGTAGACCTGGTGTCTCTTGCCTTTTATTCCTCTTTGTTAGCTCTCGTCACCAATTACCTTCACATCATGTCACCTACATATGTAGCACAAATCTCCGGTGTTTGTGCGAAGGACTGTACAGGCATAGGGTCCTGCCTTCTATGATTCGTTATCAGTCCCTAATAATTATTAGCAATCCCTAATACTTAACATCTACGGTCCTCCTTGATCAACACCACCTACTAAAGTGCCAAGGCCCCACCGCTAACATGAAGGAGGACAAACCCAAATGCGCTCGCCTTCTTAGGGCTCACTATCAGCTCCTATAAATTGTTATCACTTCTTTTCATTTATCTTTAGTGCTCCCCTCCCACCACCTGTATTCCTACCGAATGTGAACGCTCTGGACCCACAAGAACAAGAGTTACGAATTTACGCCCTAACATTCATTTTGCGCACACTCCGCCCCTGTGAGCGAAGTTTGGCCCTGCCACTTACCATCAGTGCTATCATCCTGCCGCCTGTACTTCTACTAACAAGGGAAGGATACTTGTTCGCAATGGCATTCAAGTTGAGATTTATACCCCCCGTAGGTGGTTTCGAACGCTGATCTCAAATCTGTGTTCCAAATCTGCAAAACGATTCTGAGAACAAATTTACGGGACCGGTGCCTCCCTGTGTTATACCACTGTACCGAACGGATCACAGAGCTGAGTAAAGCGGTGGCTTAGCGGGTAGTGTGGTGGATTAGTAGGCATGACATCAAAGTTTGATTCGTTGATGCATGCGCTCGTTTTGCTTTTCCATGAAATACGTTCCAAACGCTTGCAAAACATTATTGGGCTCAATGTTGAGCATCTACTGGGCTCCCTCACAATTTAGGTCTCCTGGGAATAGTAATCCAATAAAAATTTTTCTTACCACCACTGACCGAATATATACGCCTTTCCACCCCGAACAGTCAAAATGGTATTTCAATATCTTCGGCAGCTCCCGGCACTTACGGTAGACGGCGGCCGAATGACTCATTAGACCAGAGCTCCCTTTAGGAGGGACACGTTCCACAGATTCGAGGAATACTGCCCGCGCTTTCGAAGCGCTGGTACAAGGTAACTGGCATTATTAAAGAAATGCTGTAAACAGTAGTTTATCGCTTTGTGTGCACATATTATTACCCGCTCATTCCTGGAGTGAACGTCTTTTGAAGGAGTTTTCTCATGAGGTAAACGTGGTGATGCGGTGAGGCATGATACCACGGCTGTCCTTAAAACCCTGAATCCATCTATGAATTGTTTTGAATTTCCCCCTGTGACCTTCATTGTTGATTTGAAGCGGTATCCTGTGGAAATGACTGTCGTGCAATGGGTCTCCTTCATTAATTGTATGATAACTTAACCTACCAACTTATCCACTAATCTCCATATGTAGGCATATCAACCCACTTGTATTGCACCTAATAGTTGCGACCACATAAGACATCGTAAGTTGTCAATAATAGACTAATTCGAAAGCTCGTGCCCCCTTAATTTCCGTGGACGGCACTCGTGATTATACAAAACGTGCTCCTCATATTCAAGGAGGTGCGGCTACTTTTGAGACTCCAACTATAGAAGGTTATGGACTCTTCGACCAGTGCCATAAAATTGGAGCCCATGGGGCAGATCACAAACTTGAGGCCTATGCTTCACTTCGGAGCCTCTATATCCCCACAAATTAAGGAGGTTTCAACTGCGAAGCTACGAGTCCATCTTCGCTGTCATCATCCGACGACCGCAGAGGATCTTCGTGATCGCCTCTCACGGACTCGACTTTCCGACTTTCTCGCAAAGGATAACGTTGTTTTCCTAGCATTGATGAGTACGGTTCGAAACCTATGTCTATATCTACATCGTCTACGTCATGCTACAAGAACGAAACTCCATCATCAAATATTATGGCACCACATTCGTTCAAAAGATACGCTGGTAACGTGTTAAAGAGCTCTCGATTCGATGAAGCATTTGAAACCTTTCTTCTTAAAGCCTCTTAAGTCTATTTCGAGTATATATTCCAAATTCCTCTTTCGCTCGGAAGGAGCTCCACCCTTATTCGGCCGGTGAGAGGCAAAAAAACTTGCCTTCTGATACATCCACTGTTCCGTAATTGTACGGGAGCCCTGTTGATGACCAACCCTGAACCCAAAGACGTTTCGCAAGCGCCTAGGATGCATTTTATGGAAAAGCAAAACGAGCGCATGCACCAAAGAAACGAACCTTGATGTCATGCCTACCAATACACCACACTACCCGCTAGCCCGCCGCTGCTCGTGACAGGGCTTTGCTCGGCTCTGTGATCCGTTCGGTACAGTGGCATAACACAGGTAGGCACCGGTCCCGTAAGTTTGTTCCCAGAATCGTTTCGCAGATTTGGATGAGATGAGCGTTCGAAATCACATACGGGGGTATACATCTCATCTTGAATGGCTACTACGACCAAGTATCCTTCCCTTGTAAGTTCGAATGCCTCAAGTCCACGGTATCAGGAGTTATGAATTCCTGATGAAATACGCCCACCGACACACTTAGCGAATTACATAGAGTGGGGTAATTATACCAATTTCAAGTTCTCACCTGACGCTCCCAATAAGAAGAGCCTTCTGGTTTGTAGTCAGAACAATTCAACTTCAAAGTTGTTCCAAATTTGACAACTCGTACGTCTGTTTTCAAAGCTAAAATCAATGAAAGAATAAATTTCAGAAAGGACACATTCACAACTCCTATTGCACCTCCACGCATCTCTCCTCTTGATCATTTCACACCCTCAAATCCCTTCTTAGAAGCTGAGAAACTGAGCCTCTTGGTAACAGTCCCTTTTCAGGAAAGTGAATAGCTATTCGAGATTCGACATCGTGACCATGAGATCCGCCTGACGCATCCTCACTTTTCCTCAAAATATGGTTCTATATATAAGGGGCTAAGTGGTTCAGCTGATTTATGGGTGTGTGCTTTGGTGCGCGTTTAAGCGGCATTTTGTTATTCCTGTTTACTGAGATCTGGAATCTTTAAATTTCGGTAGGAGTATATGTGGCAAGATGGCAATGCTGATATAAGGTAGCGCGACCGAATTCCGCCAGCAAAGGCTGGATGAGCGCGGAAATTGTTAATTTAGAACGAAGGTGTTCACATCTGGTGGGGATACAGACGGTAAGATTACGGTACTCGTGATAGATGGTAGGAGTACAGATGCGCAATAATGTCGAAAGAGGAAGGGAATGGACGTGGCTTAACACATTCACGCCGCAAGTGCTCCTGGGAGTTGGCTGCTCAAATAGACTACCAAGTAATAATTATCTGACATTTGCTTATATCATAATCTTTTCTAATTATCTCAAACCAGGCGGCTACGCACGCTCTCGCGCGCGCTAGGGGCTCTAACCATGAGAGACGGAGCCGCATGAGCTGATTTCCATTATAGACCTTTATCGGATTTATGGGTTTCCGCTCAAACATCGCCTCCTGTGGGCGGAGTCTGGTCCTGCCACCCACCGTAAGTTTTCCCATCATGCCGCCTGTACCCCTACCAAATTTGAACTCTCTAGGTCCATGGGAACTGGAGTTATGGATTTTCGTATATAAATGTAAGAAGGGATGTAAGCTTCAAGGCACGCTCCGCCCATTGTGGGCGGGCCTCCGCTGGCGTCATTTATGCTGGA